ATGGATCAGCTGGGTTTGATCTGCTGATCACAATGGTCTCTTCCATTTAGGCCAATTTCACCTGCACGAGAAAACCCTAAAACGAACCAAGAAAACCTAACAATGGAAAATCTTGATACAGACCATAAAAATGCAATTGAATATTACAGATAGTTCGCATATGTTCTAAGGATCAATAATAATTGATTACATCATGCTATATGTGCCAGAATTATGCAAACCAATTTCAAGAAATAACCAAGGTCGTGAATGACTTACATCGCATTTTGGTACTGGGAAGGACTTGTTCTTGATTGATTTCGCTTGCTGAGGATCCCAGGAAACAATTAGAATGATCAGGAAGCTTTGAAATTGCTTGGAACAATGAATTCGAGTTTGCACTTTTTATGGTTTTTTCCAAGTTTTGTTCTTGATGTCGTGCCTCTCTCTAGCCTCTCTTTTGGTCTGCACATCATCCTTATGTACTGAGGAATGAATTAGGGTTGAAAGAATGATCACAATCTTCTTCCATCAATCCTTTTGATTTTAATTTGATACACTTGAAAACCATTCCAAAAATAGTCCAAATCCAATCTTTTTGTGAACCTCATGCCTTTACACGAATTTGATCTGATGCTAGCTGGACATTAAGACCTGAAACAAGCACAAGATCTTTGAATTTCAATGTTTTGGATTTTATATGATTTGTTTTGATTTAAAATGATTTAATTGAAATAAAAATCAAAATAAATAATATAAATAATATAATGACAAGTGGCAAAAGCTAGGGCTTGTGGACCATGTTTCCAACTCAAAACAAGTGAAAAAGATTGGGCCCATTTGGCAAAAATTGATGTTTTGGGCATAGTTGACTTTTGACAATTTTGCAAAAAAGGTCAACTTCACCAATGCATAACTTCCTCAATTTTAACTCTTTGGAGGTGTACCATGACTTTTTAGAAAGCTTGATATGTCCTCTAAGCAACCCTTTTGGTCTAATATCAATTTGATATTCCATGATTATGTATGAAGCTTTGACAAAAAAGGTGCTTTTGTTGACTTTTCAAAATGACCTATAATGTCCAAATTCATAACTTCTTGTGAGTGAATATTTTGAACTTGGGAGATGAATATGGATTGTAGGAAATGGTGTCCTCTTCAAAATGAGCTTTGGATGGGTCATTTCTCATAAAGTATGAGAAAGTTATGCTTGGTCAAAGTTGAGTTGACTTTTCCTACAAAACCCTAATTTAGCAACTTTTGGTTCTTGAGGAATTATGAGCAATCCTTGATGAATCATGATCAATCCTTGATCAAATGATGAAATATACTTCAAAATTAGGATGTTGACAAAAAATATTGAAGTTTGACTGTATGTGGGCCACAATTGACTTTTGCCCTAACACAGTCGATTTTTAGGCCTTTGAGCAATTGACTGAGCAAACTTTCTCTGCAAGGCTTGAAACTTGACATGAATGATCTTGAGAACATATTAGGACAAAGGTGAGCATTTGGGATCCCTTGGACTCAAGTATCTTGGTGCAACCTGAAACCCTAATTTGAGGTAGACTGCCTTAGGAGGGAGCTTGTCTGGTCAACCCTTGGACTTCCTTGAGCCATTTGAAGATATTTCTTGAAATATTTTGAGAAATGTGGGAGGGAAAATTTTGGGGTACAACACCGTCCTGTTTCAGGAATTCATACCACTTGGTGATAAAGATAATCGCCTTGTCTTGTTTCAGGAATTGATCTTCATCTAACCATAAAGAAAGAAAGATAGTTTCCCCATCCTGTTTCGGGAGTTAATCTTTGCTCGGTTGTATAGATAATTTCCACGTCCCGTTTCGAGAATTAATATCGGACCTATTTGAGATTTATCAATGATATTTGTCTGCTGATTGATCTTTCCTAAAAAGGTAAAGAGTTAGTTGTATGCAATGTCATGATGCATGAAATGCATTGTGTAATGATGTTCTCAAAATAAATGAGACTATGCTATATGCATTTTGTATGCATACGCTATAACATTTGTAAATCATGTATGAATGTACAATTTTGTTGGAAGTGTATCAACAATCCCGTATGACATCTTGCTGGAGAAAATAAATCCTTGGATGGTGTTGGGGATGAAGAACATATGTAATCTTTAACCTTGTCTAGAATGCTTCTGCTAGGGATTCCTGATCGTTGTTTGAGTAAACTCTGCTGGGGAATGTTGACTTCTATTTGAGGAGAAGAGTTCTGGAACAATAGTCGTTCATCGCTCTACCGGGGAGTTTAATTCTTATATATCCTGACTGGGGATAAAAGAGATGGACAACCTTCCGATTCATCTCGGGAGTTGAATTTTTATATACCCTGACTGGGGATAAAAGAGATGGATAACCTCCCCACTCGTCTGGTGAGGATAATTCTTATATACCCTGAATGGGGATAAAAGATATGGATAATCCTTTGACTCGTCTGGGGGGGATGATTCTTATATACCCTGATTGGGGATAAAAGAGATGGATAACCTTCCGACTCGTCTGAGGAGGATAAAGTTGGCTGATATCTAGTCTGGTTCTAGGTTTTGTAGCAACTCTCTGGGATAGTGGCAACTTCACTGGGGAGAGGAATTTTGCCGGTGATTCATAACCATCTGAGGAAGAGACTTAAGATGAGGAGACTGTAATCTGTTGGGGAAATAAACCCTGTTAACAGAGAAATACTCTACTAAGGAAACAGGTTGGAGAGGAGAAATCTGTAGGGGATTTTACAGTATTGGAGGAATAAACTTGGACGGGGAAGAGAAATGCCATGAATTGTACTGATTGGAACTCCATAGGTGGGTGATATTGTCGAGAAAGCTACGGGGAATGTATTTTTATTGAAGATGAATTTATAAAGATTACTTTGGGGGATAATCTTATAGAATTGGCTCTATGGGGATTCGTGGATTACTTTGAACGTCACCCCAACTCCTAGAGTATTGAGTAAATGCTTATTCCTATTTTTATGCATATATTTGTTAATAGTTAATCGTGTTCATATGCATATGTTCATTCAATTTTAGTCATTGGACGTTTTTGCAAACAAAAACAGAAAAATAAAAAAGACAAAATTTGAATTTTGGGTTGTATTTGTATTGATAGTTTTCCTATAACATGCAATTTTGTACAAAGAGACATAAATCCTAGTAAGAGTAAATCGTCGTAAAATGAAAGAGTACAAAGTGAAAACAAAACATATATGTAATACGGTGGGAGAACTGACTTGGGTGTTTTATGTTTTATCGCACATGTCGCGAATAGAAAGAGTCGCCACTGACTTTTCTTTTATCCAATAAAGGAAAGGGTGAAAAGAACAGGAATACCTTTTGAGAATTTTCTTGAGTCCGGAGGGTAGGTTATGAAAATGGAAGGTGTTAGAACCCTTTTCATCCGTAGTTAATTGCTTGATCACTTAAAAATGCTTTGTATTTGTGTATGTTGAAAGATGTTAATTTTGCAACGATTCTCGTATCGTTGAGAATGTATACAAAATGTTTGTTTTTTGGAAATATTTTGAAAAAAACGCCTTAGTGTGGAAATTTTGGAATGATTCTCGTATCGTTGAGAACGTATACAAAATGTTTGTTTTGAAAATATTTGTTTGAAAAGAGAGTTGTTGCAACTAGTTTTTTAATCAGCGGTTCTAGGCGAAGGGAAGGTGTTAGGCACCCCTCATCTACCTTGTTCGCAAGGATACTAGGTTTAGAAGCGCAATATTTAGGAAATAGGGTTTTAATGTTAATTAGAGCGAGAGGGTTTAAATTTAAGTTAGGGGGAAAATGGTTTGAAATTTAAATATGGGAACTCGCCATGATTTTAATCGTATGCTATGTATCCTCTTATGAGGAGTCAGAGTCTCATTTCGTAGTTTGCGAGGTTGTTTGTATTTTATATGGATCGCGAAATATATTTGAATTTCCCGTATACGTGGTCTAAGAGTGTGAATAGTGAAGTTTGTTAGATCAAGTGCAAAGTTGATTCAAATATATTCGTATTCCATTTTTTGAAAATTAACGTTGAATTAATTTATTATGAAAAATAATGTGATGTTTGTTTGAGTATTTCTTATACATAGAGCAAATGAGTCTGATATAGCCCCCTCATCACATGGCCAGATATTGGCCACGTATCGCTTGCGGATGTAGTAATTTGGTGAATCACGTTGGATTTTAATTGTTTGATTTTTGAATAATTGACTGATAGAAGATAAGTCGATCAATCACTTTATTCGAGGATATGGTGGATGAAAAACCTACCAATCCCATTATAAAAATGTTGAATTAATTTTGATTATAAAAAAAGTTTAGATTATGTACATGTCAATGGTTTTTATAAGTTTTGGATTTTAATTGTGTTTTTTTTAATGTTGTTAAGGGAAATCAAAGTAACTAATCTAACACTACATTAATAACTTAATTAATCAAATTAACTAATATAAAGTTAAATAGGAAAATTAGATTTAGTTAAATTAAAACAAGCGTTTAGGGGGTGCAAAGTAAGATAGAAGGTGGTACTAGAAATAAGGCCCAAAAGCCCAAATCATACCAAACCCTAACCTAAATCTAATTCAATTATATAGTACAATAAAAAATTAAAGTACATTACAACAACAACATCATCCAACGACACCCTGTTTGGGGAAGTAGTTTTGGGTTTCCAAATTAATGCCCCGAGCCAATAAAGAAAAGACACATGGAAATATTTAAATAAAAAATTAAAATAAAACATTACCTATATGACCTAGTAGCAATAAAACAATTAGGAAGAAAACTAAAACAAATATCATTTCCTCTCTCTATTGTACCGTCTCCTTCTTCTTAAACACTTCCATCAAAAACCAAACCAACAAAATAATAGGGCATAAGAATACAACCAGCAATGGTTCTTCAATTGAGACTATGGCATCTCAGATCTGGAACGACGACAGATCGGTGATTCACACGGAGGGAGTCGCGTTTGGAACTCGCGTTCGAGGGAGGCGAACGACCAATGGTCGAGATGTGGTGGATGGAGGGAGTGCGGTCGGATATGAGAATAGAAGTGTGGCGTCGAAGGAAGTCTCATGCGTGGTGGTTGAGATCCGGAATTTGGAGTAACATCACGCGAGTGTTTCACGGTGATGAAGCTGGTTGCAGGATACGTCACAGACGAAACTTGGAGGTAAAGCCTGCAGTTGGCAGCAGCAGTGACTGGGGGTTTCTTCTTCTTCTTCAGAATTTCCTTCTGTTACCGATTCTCCTCCCACTCTGTCTCTCTTTGCTGTCTTCTCCCTCTTGTAATTGTTTTTCCTATTCTTTTTATAATGTTCTTGGGTTTTATAGAATAAGAAATAAACCTATTATTTTTTATTGTAATTTGATTTTGGAAACAAATTTGATTCGGTTTGTAATTGCTCTTAAATTTGTTTTTGTTTTTGAGTTGATTTTGCTTTTTTTTTGTTTCATTGGCCCAACATGTTTTCCTAATTTGCTAGTAAAATATAAAACAAAAAAAACAATAATTAGTAAAAACAATTTCTCAGAAAATGGAAATGGACCAAATGTTTTGGTTATTGGGCCTGCTTGTTTTATCATTTGGAACTTGGATTTGGGCTGACATTTGAACAAAGGAAAGGAAGACCCTTTTGTAAACATTCCTCTTTTAAATACTACAAACAAAAATCAATTTTAATTATAACTAAATTTAAAATTAGAAATAGTATAATTTAATAATAATGATTATTATAAAAAATAATAGTAATAAAAATGTTAAAACTAATATTATAATAAAACAATTCTTTAAAACATAACCAAAAACTTATAATGGGCCATTGGGCTTTTTATTTATTTAAAACGAACGGTTTAAAAAAAAGAGTCTAAATGGGCTTATCTAACTCAAATATATTGGGTCTTTAAATGAGACAAACTGTTTTATACACCCCCTTTATATTCTAACTGAATTAAAAATATATGGGCCTTTTCTGATTGAGAAAGGCCCATGACCTTTTTTACAAAGTGAACCCCTCTTTGATTTTAAACACCCCCATAAAAGCGAGAACTCAATAATGCGATCTATTTAAAGAAAACCCTAGATATGAAATTAGGGTAAGACAAATTTGGGGTATGACAAGAGTGTTTAAAAAGATGTTTGTTTTTGAAAGTGTGAGGTGTGAAAATGACTTTAGTTTGTGAGCATGCAATTACGAGCAATCTACCTACTCAAAAAGTCTATGTTTTTTTCCTCCTCCTTTATATAGTGCTATTTTACCATTGGTTGGTAAAGAGACATATCATTGGATGTGAGGGACAGATGTGGGTCATTGTACAATCATAGAAGGCAACTTGTAAGATGTTTTTAGCAATTTATCGTTAGGGACTAAGATTATTTACCGAAAGCAACATTTGAAGGGTCATCGAGGGACTATGATCTTTTAATCGAGGGTCTTTGTTAAAGCATCTCATATTCGAGGGACATGATTGTTTAAATACGAGGCAAAAAGTGAGGTTTACCTTAGAGGTGCAAGTGTGCAAAGTGTGTTGATTTCATGTATTTTATCTTTGAATTAGGGTTTTACTAGGGTTGATTTTAAGTCTTGTCATGCAAACCCTAATTACTAGCAACAATAAGGAAAACGATAAATTGCGAGATTTAGATGTCCTACGCTATTACAACGCTTTGGGAGTGGGGGGTACAATTTTGTGAATAGGGGGAAGAAAACAATAAAGTTTTAATTATCTATTACAAAACCATGTACATGAATAATGACAAAATGTACAAAATGTAAAGAGGAAGAAATAGATTATTTTTTAGGGTTTTTAATAGAAAGGTTTAAAGATTAACCTAATCAACTCATTGATTTTAATTACAAGAAAAGTTAATTAATTATTTAATCAAAACCTAAAATCTAAGTTAATTAAAATAAAACCTAAGTCTAATTTAATTTGTTTAGAAAATAATTTGAATGTTAATACTAATTTGTAAAAGAAAATAAAATTCAATTTAATGAAATAAAATGCCTAAGTTAAAACATTTTTAATTTAATTAAGAAAAAATATTTTTTGGTTTAGATAAAATGAATAAATAAATGAAAATAAAGAAAATATAAAATAAATAAAAATAATTGGGCCTGTGTGTCAAAAGAAAAATGGGAGTTTAAAAGTAGCAAACATGCCCAATTTAGTTTTTGTTTTGAATCATAAAATAATTAAAAAAAGAAGTGGGCTTGCACCGTGTATTAGGAAGAAATTCAGCCAAAGGCCCAGAAAAAAAGTCCAAGCACTTGCTGATCCTGTAGGGTTGACCTTCTGAGGTGCATCATGGGCTTGCTCATGTGATGCGTTGGATATGCTTATCTAATGATCAGATGATGTTGATATGAAGTCCATGGTAGGCGCGCCTGGCTTGTATGCACTGAATCTGGAACAAATAAATGTGAAACAAATAAAAGGGTACCATTGGGGCTTGGTTAGCTTCAGGGCTATGATGTCCATATTTTTTATTCATAAAGTAACCATTAATGATAATTGTAGAGAGAGAGTTCAAAGTTGAGAAAACTTACCTCAAAACTGGAAATCGTGTATGGAGTTTGAGCACCGCTGAAAGTGTGGTGATGATCTGGATAACTTCACTGGACTCTTAGGTAGCTAATGCAACTCTTACTTTGTGCTGAATGCGTCTGAATCGTGCTGGAGAAGTCAAGTTGCAGGTATGAATATTTGGAAATGGAGGATGATCAAAATGAAGTTACAGTGTTGAAACAGGGACGGGGATGAGTTATATATGAGGTATGGAAGCTTTATGATTGATTAAAAGTGAAAACACACGAGTGGATTGTGAGATTGAAGTTTTTAGTCAAAAATGACAAACAATGGAGGTTTTGATGCAACTCTGAGTTTCAGGGAGTTTGAGAGGGTTAGAGGGCTTGTCAATTTGTCTATTATCTTGCAAATAGTTTCTTTATTTATAGTCAAAAGGTTTGAAAGCTTGAGGTAGTCAGAAATCAAGAATCACATGTTATGGTTATGTGACTTGATTTTGAAGCAATCTTGAAACATCTTGTTCCAATGCATAGTAAAAAGGATCCTAGGGTGGTTAACAGGTTGTAGATGGTTGCTTATTCACTTTACAATGGAGTGTGATCATAAGGAACAAGTGTAAAGCTCAAGGAGTTGACATTGTGATTAAAGTTGGCTTTTCTAAAATGGAAGTGTTACCTTTGTACCAAAAATGGATTAACCACTTGGACAATGGCTTAATAATTTGTTTAAACAATTAATTATGGAGTTATTTGCAAGTTAGAAGCCTTCAAAGCAATATTCATGCAGCATGGCTTGAGATTTGATCAAGTGTTCTTCATGAAAATGGCCTATAATTCAAGAATGGATGTCCAACTTCTTCTCTTAGAAACTTCTAGCTCAAGCATGATCTCTTCAAGTTCTTGGACATTTTTGGAAGCTTGAAACATTGTCTACAACCTTCATGTTGACCATTTTGGATAAATCAACTTGGAACTTGGTGAAAAATTACCAAGAAGTTGGGACAAAAAATCTGCCTAACTTGATGAAAATTTCACTAAGTGTTTTAGTAAAAATGTCATGACTTTATGAGATTATATATATTCAAATATAAGCATTTTTGGACATAAACCCTAAGGGAAAAAGTTGTATAATTCATAAAGATCTACAACTTTCATGTTGAAAGTTTTCCTTGAATCATCTTGATCTTGGTGAAAAATTGTCATGAAGTAGTGAAATTATCAAGGTTAAAAAACACTTAGAATTTTTCTAAGTATTGAAAACTTTGACTTTTTGTGGACTTTATTGAATTTATTGATTCTTGATGATCAAGTTTGATATTTTTGAATGTCTTGATGAATCTTGATCTTTGAAATTTAATGTTGACCAAAAAGTTAAAGTTTGACTTTTTGTGTATCAGTTGATGAAATTTCAACTATCAATCCATTGATCTTTAGAAATGATTTGAGCCATGAAATAGGTAAATATGTTGTGTTTGAGTCCTTAAGTTCATGCTCCAAGTCATTAGGTCATGTACTAGGTCAAAAGTCAATGATCAGTCATTCTCAATAAAAACCCTAATTTTGACAATTTCCCCCTTTAATGATTTGAATGCTTTTCTTAAGGAATTGTGATCAACCCTTGATAAATTGATGAATATGACCTTAAAATGTTGATGTTGGCCAAAAATCATGAATTTTGACTGTATATTGACCGTAGTTGACTTTGTACCCAATATAGATGATTTTCAGTCATCTGAGCAATTGACTGAGCAAATTTGTGATGTAAGGCTTGAAACTTGGTATGAGAAATATTTAAGACCTATAATGAACCATGAGAGTCACTTGAGGTATTAAAAGCCCATTTATCCTTGAGAAAACCAAAACCCAAATTTATGGGCTCAGTGCTTATGAGGTGAGCTTGCATGATCAACCCTTGAGTATTCGAGATATTTTGGTGAGAGATGTCTTGAGAAAAGAGATGGAAAATTTTAGGGTATAACAATATATCTATGTGGAAATGGTCTCGTTGGGTTCCAACTCCGCTATTGCCCCTATGTCTTCGAACATCTCATCCCTTGCTGTCGGAAGAAGCTGATTAAACTGATCTGTACAGTTTGAACTTCCGTCTTTGGTAATAAAACTTGAAGCAAGTGATCTAATGGGACATAGTTGTATGCTTTTAATCTCTAACTTTTTCCTGGACCTCTCTTTCGAGTTTTCAGTATATTGGGACACCCTTTCTTGCCCAAGCCGCCTTTTCAAGTTTTTGACTTGCCGGGTGTATAATCTTTTTGCCCGAACCCTTTTGGTTCACCGTGATGCCATTATTTTTGCCTGGGCCAGTCAACCTAATGATTCGTTTTCATGTGTAGTATCTTTTGACTATATCCGTGTTCACAGGGTATGGGAAATCTTCACCGTTCATGGTGGTTAGTATTATAGCACCGCCCAAAAATACTTTCTTGACAACAAATGGCCCTTCATAGGTGGGAGTCCATTTTCCCATGGGATCACCTTGCTCTATAATGATGCGCTTTATTACCAAGTCACCAGCCTGATATACCCGATGCTTTATTTTTTTGTTAAATTCCTTAATCATATGTTTCTGATACATTTGACCATGACAAACAGCCGCAATCTTCTTTTCTTCAATCAAATTTAACAGATCCAACCTAGTATGAATCCATTTGTCTTCGTCTAAGTCTTTATCTTTCATAATTCTCAGAGAAGGAATCTAAACTTCGACAGATAGGACAACTTCCATACCATAGACCAGGGAGAATGAGGTTTCCCCAGTTAATGTTCGTGTCGAAGTGCGATAGTCGTGGAGAGCAAATGGTATCATCTCGTGCCATTCTTTGTAGGTCACAACCATCTTTTGCACAATCTTTTTTTATGTTTTTGTTGGCAGCTTCCACTGTGCCTTTCATCTTTGGTCGATACGGAGAAGAGTTATGGTGTTTAATCTTGAACTGCATGCAGAGTTCAGTGATCATAGTGTTGTTGAGGTTGGTACCATTGTCCGTGATGATTCTCTCGGGGATGTTGT